AAAAGCAACACGGCTTGTGCATGATTATGTTGAAACATTGAACCTTGCAACACTTTCTGCTAAGCGATATTCGGTTATGCTCACCACATTTTGCCAATGTTTGCCATTTTCAAATAAATTAAGGCTGTAAAGAGGCCAGTGGTCCTTGGGAATCACTTCATTGACGTCTGCTAGAGTTAAGTTTATTTTTTCTTCAGTTTATTTTTTGCTGCAGACCCTATTGGGCAAATTTTCTTGTCTTCCGTGAATTTGAAAGTTTTAAACATAGCTGGATAGCCAGAATTTCCTGATGTGGTTGATGTTGACAAGTGTCTTTTCATCTGTACGGCAAAACTAATATGCTGGGTCATAAAACGCTTTTCCATGGCAATTTATGTGAATAATATTTGCGAATGAAGCACGACCAAGTTGCTTTATACATCCACACTGTTACCTTTTTTTCGGTGAATTTTAAAATCCAAATTTCTCGATTGGTCTGTCAATTGAAACAGCAGGAGCTATTAAAACTGGCATCGTTAATTGGTCATTTGAAATTGAACCGACCCGCCCCATTAATGATTGTCTCATTGGAGTTTAGAATCTGGCTGCCAGTTATCCTTTCCTCGTAATGTCTATTTCTGCTGAATTGTAGTGTTAAAGCCCTTTCCAGAGCATGTTTTTCGACGCCTCAAGAATATCCATTTTCACTCAACACCAAATATGTACAATAAATTTGCCAGACGATTTTCCGTTGTTTAAAGGAATTATATAAGATGCTTGTGCAGCTACATTTAAACATATATTGTGTAATTCAGTTACATACACCAAAACTGACCACCTCTGCGACTAATAATTAAATCGGCTCAATGAACAAAGGTGCTGTACCTAAAATATTTTGCGTCAGGATCCGTCATTATTGAAGATTCAAATATTTTTGATGAATTTTGCCTAATTTAGACCATTAAATTTACACATATTTAAAATTTCGTGCATTAGCAGGCTATATTGCAATAAGGCTAGAATCGAATGCTTACCTGCCCAAATTCAGTAGCATTTAGTGTTTGACATTTCCGATTGGCGGAAGCATGGAATCAAAAATTTCGTCGATCCGTCATTGCATTGTTTTCCCATTTGCTTTTAGACATTCAACCAGTGGAAATGTACACGGACCCATTAACCACGCATGTTTCCGTCTTAAAAGCGCAGACACAGGAACAGAGGTCGCAGAATTTGCTGCGTTTATGAACCACCGGACGGCAAAGAGGAGTCACAGTTGTCAACCATCGTGTAGTTGACAAGTGTGAGCATGCAATTATTGAGAATCCTCGAGTGTCTGCCTACTTCACAAATTTTTATGCTTTTGCATACTGTAGTAATAATTTGATTGCAACAAACCTAGTTTATTTTTGCCAATTGTCCAAATATTTAAATATTATATAGTATAAACTCGCTTGGTCGTGTACAGATAAGACATCTAGCAAGACGACAAACACCGACCACAGCCGAATCCACCAAAGACGAAAACCTGACGGTCAGTTGCGGCAGCTGAAAACTATTTGCGAGGCTGCCTCATTTGCGGTGCACTGGACACGCAACGATTGAAGGGGTTAATTGTGACAACTTCAGTGGTTTCTTTGCCTGAAACCCTAATTCCTGAACCAATCAAGTGAACGCAACCTGTTTAAAAATGTAGGAAGAAATTAACAACACAGACCATCTTCCGTCTGAAGACCACAAAATGAGCATACGTATCATTACAAACCTTAAATTTAGAATAACGGTCATGGAAGATTTTGATTCTGGCAATTCCACCTGGCAGTTAATGTGAACTGTTCAGTGGGTTACACCCTCAAGGCTTTGTTTTACAGAAAAATATTGATAACATTTTCAGTCTGAAATTTGATTCACTAACCACGTTTTGTGGTTGGGACATCTCTTAACAATTTCCGGCAAAATTGAATGAGGCGGTTTTTCGCGTTCAAGTGCCCAGTAGATGAGTTGATCACGGAGGACGCGTTTGATCGAAGGTCGATTTGAATTGGGTAAAGCACTTGACGGCAACACCCGTTCTCCGTG